TCCAACAAATGAAGGAACGAAGAAAATAAAAACAAGGCAACCAAAAAAGTGAAAAGTGTTGGCATACAAGAAGAAATTGGATTTTTTGTGAATGTTGGCAGCCACTAGGAACTGTTATTTTGCATAGGTAGTGGTTGGACTTTTTTTTTGTGAATGTTGGCAGTAGCTAGGAACTGTTATTTTGCTCACCTAGTGGCTGGAATTTTTTGTGATATTGGCAGTAGCTAGAATTCGATAGTGGCTCGATATTTTGCTTAGGAACTGATATTTAGGGATGCTTAGCTAGTGGCTGGATATGTTTTTGGGAACATGCTACCTTGTTAGGAACTATTATTTCCAGTTGAAGTCCTAGATGTTAGCTTTGGTTGTCAATATATGGAACATGCTTGTTATTTGCAATTGAACTCTTATGATATAATGCTAATTTGGTTTCCTATTTGGATATTGGAATGCATTTGTGCCTATTCATTGATTAGCAGGTTGAATTTTGTGGGAATATGCATTTCTGCGGATTGGAATGCATTTCTGCGCATTTTTTTCATAATTAGCTGCCAAAACCTATAAATAAATAGGAATTTACCAAAAAGAAAAAAAAAGGGCGGGAAACTTTTTAAAAAAAAAATAAAATTGTGAAAAAAAATCATATTTCAGTGGGAATTTGAATTTTTGCCCACGTGGCACTTTTTGCTGAGTTGGCATGACGTGGTAAATGGATATATACATGTGCAAGTTTTGGAGGGAGTTGGTTGACGTGGTATGGGTCCATGACTGACTACGTCAGCCTTTAACGGACCAATGAATAGAGAATTTAACAGAGGTATTATCTTGAAATAAAATAATATGTAATGTATGAGAGTGAAATGTTTTAAAGAGTTGTATGAGATTGCAATAAACCTCAAACTTAAGGGGGTAAAGTGTAATTTACCCTTTTTATTAACAACGTTTTTTGTTATTTGAAAAAAGAAAGATGGCAGCGGAATGATTGGCCAGATAAAGGCTGGGGCTACATCCTTCCCAACGCATCCTTCCTTATGTGTTGGAGATATAAAGCGCGTGCACGGAAAAAAAACGGGAACCAGGGTCAATCTCTTTTATGCCGAAGCATCCAAAGCATAATTGTACATTCACACAATTTTTACCGAGAGATAGGAGCATTTGGTTTTGAAAAACTTTTTGCAGTCGTTAAAAAATGTGATTTATATTTAAAATTTTAAATTGACTGTCCCTTTGGGGATTTTATTTTTAATTTTTTTATTTTTTATCTCTTCTGGTGATACCAAAATATCTAGCTGTGCTTTGGGTTTGCCTTAAGAGAAATTCATAAGCAAGTGTGATTCTTACCTCTATCAAAGATGTAGTACAAATGTAATATAAAAAATATGATAAGAATAACACTTTTATGCAAGATATTCCAAGCACAATATCTGGTTATTAGGGATAAAAATACAAAATTAATTCTTTCTTTGCATTCATAAAAACAAAAGAAATAGAACATAATAATACATTCTCTAATGGAGATGTTAAAACCAAAATTTTGGGTTTCATCATGAAACGAATAAATGGTTACACCCATCATCATCTATTTAAATTTCACACGTAAATAATTACATTATAACTGTTTATTTATTTAAATGAATTTTAAATAGATGAATAATCACAGTTGTCCATATCCGTAATTATTGCCCACCCTTTTATCGAATAATCGGCCCCAATTTTGCATGGCTTTTAGCCCAGACTCCAATTGGTGGAGCTCTCAACCCAACTACTGCCCAAATCCACGTGAAACCCAGCGGACCATTTTTCAATAAACTTTTAAATTAACTCGAGGCCCGAACATTTGGCGGTGCATACGAGTCGAGTATCAATTGCGCTCAAAACAGAACTGCTCTCCTATATCACTTTTGAGGATTCTCAAGTTTTTTACTTCGGATGTTTTGATATAAGTGTCCCGGGATTTTATTTTGTTGATTAACATCTGTTCTTTTGATAATTTTATTAAATATTTTCTACTACAATGATATTAGAGATATGCTCAATTATATTGGTATGTTTGATTATGGATACATTTAATTATATTGGTACGTTTGATTTTAAGTACAACACAACACAACTCAACCCTAAATCTCATTTTCTTTTCACAAAAACTGGCTTAATTACTTACTTAGGCATCGAAGGTTCATTGACCAACCTCCCCTACCCTATTGGGCACATGGCTAGCCTTACCCAAATGTATTTAATTTGTTTTGTAAGTACAATTATGTCAAATAAGTGGTGAAATTTTGCTATCATAGCTTGTATATAAGATGTACAATTGAAAAGTGGCCGGGTCTTACTAGAAAAAGGACACGAGTCAAGGGTATATGATCATTTTTCAATTACTAGAAGGCATTTTTTGAATTACGGCGTGTTACGCGCGACTTACATGTTTTAAATGTATTTATATGCGTAAATTAATAAAAGGAAAGTCAAATATTTGAAATAAATGAATCATTTTAGATCATGCTAGAAGTAACCTTTCATAAACCAATTAAAGCAGCTGAATTCACATAATAAAATCGGTCTCTATAGAATTTACATTAAGAATAGAAAAAATAATATTTAATAAATAATTGATTGAATCACATTATTGCTAGTCATTGTGAGATCAAGCTCACCTCCTCCCCTTCAGTATAGATAATATCGTTTTTTTTTTAAATAAAAAAAAACAATAATTTGACAATTAATTTAATCACATTACTATTCACATGCGAAAGACCTTTTTTATAACCGGCATTACACGCTTCTTAGGATGTTTTGAACGTGTTTAAAAATAGAGAAAATAATATTTAATAAACAACTGATCGGATCAAATTATTGCTAGCTCATTGTGAGGTTAAGCCCACCACTTCCCCTTAGTGTAAATAATATCGTTTATTAAAAAAAAAATCATTTGACAATTAATTTAATCACATTATTATCCGCGTGCGAAAGACCTTTTTTATAATCGATATTACACGCTTCTTACGATGTTTTAAACGTGTTTAAAAATAGAGAAAATGATATTTAATAAACAACTGATCGAATCACATTATTGCTAATCCATTGTGAGACTAAGCCCACCTCATCCCTTAGTGTAGATAATATTGTTTGTTACATAAAAAAAAAAAACAATCATTTGACAACTTATTTAATTACATTATTATCCGCGTGTGAAATACCTTTTTTATATCACGTGGACACCATGAACTTTGTCATTTGCTTATTATTTTCTCTCTTCCCTTTCATTTTTTTATTCTTTACACATAAGACAAAAATTTTGGTGTCACCAGCTTCGACAAAAAGAAGTGGACCAAAATGCCCCACAACCAAAAAAATTCCAAACCTGCCCAAAATCATATTTCAAATTATGCAAGGGTAAATTAGTCATCTGACCATAAAAAAACTGTGTTGCATTGTGCACTTTTCCATTGGCTTTCTATATAAGATAAAAGATACACATACCTGCAGCTTAATTGTTCGCACATCGTAATACTAATGTATAAGTTTTGTTTGCCTTCACCAATGTTGAACAACTGTTCACCATTGGAAGTTGTTTTTGAGACTCTTCCCATTTTAACACATCTTAAAGTTTTTGGGTGCTCTTGTTTTCCATTGTGGAGACCTTACATCAAAACTAAGACAACAAAGTGTGTTTTTCTTGGGTATGCATCAAAGTACAAAGGTTTTATTTGTTTTGATGTGTTACAGGGTAGGTTCTATATATCTAGACATGTAGTCTTTGATGAGTCTAGATTTCCCTATACTCATTTGTCTTCTGTACCTAAACACTAATCTGTGACATCCTATCGTTCTCAGTCATTGCCATCATTTCCTGTTCCTAATATGGAAAATATATTAGTTCAACCATAGTTTGACCCACCATCATCTCCATCCACATCACATAGCCCTGCTAGATCAATACCATCAGTCCCACTACCTACTGAAAATATAACTTCACCCTCAATCCCACTGTTATCACCAGAGAGTACAACATCTTAGTCCATTATTACTACTGCAAGTTCTTCTCATCCACTCCCTATGGATCCTAAGTTTAGTCATGATCTTCTTCAAGTGGTATTACCTATTGCTCCACTTAATATGCATCCTATACAAACTAGAAGTAAAGATGGCATAATAAAAAAGAAGGTGTTTCTCAGTCAAGTGAATGATTCTAGTGGTGTTGATTTAACTCTGGTGGAACATGCAACCTATAAGCATGCCTTGAAAGTACTTGTTTGGTTTAAAGCTATGCAAGAAGAGATTGATGCACTGCATAAGCAACAAACTTGGAGCTTAGTACATTTGCCATCTAACAAGATTTTGGTTGGTTGCAAATGGGTTTTCAAAATAAAAAAGAACTCAGATGGTTCAGTAGCTCGACATAAAGCTAGACTTGTTGCTAAGAGGTTTAGTCAAGAGCCTGGCTTGGATAAGTGGATTATGGTGAGAAATTTAGTCTAGTGGTTAAACCAACCACTGTGAGATTAGTTCTAGCTTTGATAGCTCACTTCAGTTGGTCCCTCGGGCAATTAGATGTTAAGAATGCTTTCTTGCATGAGTTGTTAAATGAAGAAGTATATATGGCTCAACCTTCTGGTTTTGGGGATCCTTCACATCCTGAATTAGTTTGTAAACTTCACAAGTCACTAAATGGATTAAAACAGGCCCCTAAAGCCTGGAATGAAAGGTTTACAAGCTTTCTTCCTTCTCTTGGGTTTCAGTCTACATATTATAACTCTTCCTTGTTTGTCAAGACTAGTGGCAGTGACATTGTCATCCTTTTACTCTATGTGGATGATATTGTCATCACTAGAAGTGCTGCCTCAGCTATTCAACAAGTGATTCAGTCTTTAACTACTGAGTTTGACATCAAGAACTTGGGAGAGCTTCATTATTTTCTGGGTATTCAAATAACCAAGACTGCTTAAGGTTTATTCTTGTCTCAATCAAAATATATTTAGGATTTATTGCAGAAAGTTGAAATGGTGGATTGTAAGCCTTGCGAAACTCCTTGCTTACCTTACAATAGGTTACTTAAAGATGATGGTACTCCTTATAACAATCCAACAATGTATAAAAGTATAGTTGGGGCATTGCAGTATCTTACCTTCACTCGACCTGATATTGCCTTCTCGGTTCATCAGGTTTGTCAGTTTATGCAGTCTCCAATGGTGTCCCATTTCACAGCAATTAAAAGAATTTTGAGGTATCTGAAGGGTACATTGTCTATTGGTATTTCTTATACTCGGGGAGATTTGACATTAAAGGCCTTTAGTGATGCAGATTGGGCAAGAGATCCTAATGATAGGCGTTCAACTACTGGGATGGTTGTCTTTTTGGGTAACAATCCAATTTCGTGGTCTTCCAAGAAACAAAACACCATTTCTCGTTCTTCCACCGAGGCAGAATGTTGAACTATGTCCACTACCTCCGCTGAGCTTGACTGGATTCAACAATTGTTGCAGTTTATGCATGTCCAACTTGTTGTTGCTCTTGTTCTCTTTTGTGACAATCTATTTGCATTGCTTTATCCTTTAATCCTATCCAACATCAACGAATGAAGCATATTGAGATTGATGTGCACTTTGTGCCTGAAAGAATTGCTAAGAAGAAACTCTTTCTTCAGTTTGTCTCCTCTTGCGAACAGTTTGCAGACATATTAACTAAGGGTCTCAGTGCTCCACTATTTCGATCTCACTGTTTCAACCTCACACTTGGCTCTCCCACGCATGAGTTTGAGGGGGCATGTAAGGATATAGATAGTGATTAGGATCATGCCACTTGTCATATGATTGTAAACTTTAGTTAGTTAGTTAGATACTTTGCTCTCTCTATATATATACATCATTGTAATAGCTTCTTCAATAAGAAATCAATACAATAGATTTTACAATTCATCTCTCTAACTCTTTCTCTCTAGTTTTTGAAACCCAAAGCATTTCTCTCAATCTCTCTCTACATTAACACGTGTTGAACTTAATCACAAAACATTCATTGCCATTTCTGCTCTTGGCAAAAATATCATTACGTCAATCAACTGTTTTCGAACTTTGAAACACAAAGACTTCCTATGCTCCCATATTCAAGCACACGGCACGCCACACCAACTTCTTGAATCATTAATTAATTATAATCAAGTTCCTATGTAATCAAGAAAAAACTATCTTGCTTTTAATATGTGGGGACCGCTCTCCCTCACAAAGTAGCTAGGGTTTTTTTAGAGCTTTCTGTCTTCCATATTCCATGGATCCCTTAGAAAGAGCTCCAATTTGCTCGCTGTTTAATTTGAAAAAAATAATGCTAAAAAATAATTAAATTAAATTTGTAAATCAAATAATATTGCGAATGATAATTAGATTATTACTTAACGTAGATTAACGTAATTATTTTTTATTGTGACACATCATTCTATTTGTAAATTGGTTTAAAATTTGAGTAATGCTTGGTAGACTAAATTTGCAAACAACATGATATGTAACCAATAAAAAATAAGCACGTTAATCAACACTTAAGTAATAATCCAATCATTAACTTCTGTGTTATTTAACTTCCTAACATTACCCTTAAAAATTTAATCTCTCTTACATTTTTATTAAAAAATATATATATTTCGACATCTAGTAAAAACAGGCCCACAAATAATATATAATCCCTAATAACAAGCAAAGATTTGATCCATCTTCTACTATCTATATAGCATTTTTATGCATCATTCTTAATTATGGAATTAATTCGAATCGGATGAGTTCAAAAAGGTCAAAGAACAAAAATTAACAAAAGATGTAAAAATGAGTGTGATTAGCGTTGTACTCTTCATTGTTTAATACTTGAGCGTCAGTTATTAAACACCGATTTGATTAATTATATTAACTGCTAATTAATGACAACCTAACTAAACTATATTTGATACTATGGAACTAACCATCATGTGTCTTACTATCAATACCACTGCATTAGACGTTTATATTTGGGTGCATTTTTGCTCACTACCATAATTATGGTGTATACTCATCATACACCTAATCATTTGTCATGTGTTTTTTCACTTAACTCTAGTTAACTTTCACATAAATGGTTACTTTTTCAATTTTGAAAAAAAATTAACCAAACTTAAGTGAAATGATACGTTGACACACGCTGATAAAAAAACTGGAGCGTGTTGGCCGTCCCGTGAGGGTGACGTAGCCAAGTGCACAATGCAAAATCAAAAGAGTGAAAATATGAGAAAAATAAAGTCAACAAAATAATTTACAATAAAAAGATCAGTGAGTGCTAGTGAAAAACATGGAAGGAAAATGCAAAGTAGAAGTTTGAGTATCCTAGGTGCAGTCTAGAATAAACAAACACTACACAAGTGATATCTAGAAAGTCCTACATGGAGTGTGCTTGTCAGAAATGCCTCGATGCCTCTTCCGTCACCCACGTCCTTGCTACCTAAAACCTGGAGGGGTGCAAAATAGAAAACGTCTCGTGTGAGTTCCCAGAAACAAAACCGTGAGGGCGTGGTCGGGGCCCAGAACGGATAATATCGTGCTACGGTGATGGAGCGGGACCATGATGTGGTGGATCCCGGGCCGGGATGTGACATACATGACAAATATTAAGTGTATAGTGAGTATACACCAATGTTTAGAGTGGTGAGCAAAAATGCTCCCTTTATATTACAATTATTTGTTTGAATCAAATTCAACATTAGCATACAAGGAAGGGAGCATTTTTGCTCACTACCATAATTATGGTGTATGCTCACCTACACTTAATTATCTTTCATATGTCATTTCATCTAACTCTAATTAAATTTCACATCAAATGCTACATTTTTAATTGAAAATAAAATTAATTAAAACTAAGTAAAATGATATGATAATTCATAATTTATGATGATAAATAAAAATGCTCCCTACAAGGAATCACTGATAAATAAGTATTGGTTCAAGGAACATTTAATGCTGCTCTCTGATCTGAGAATCTTTTTATTTTTTTATTGGTCAGCCGTATGTTTTTATCATTCTTTCAAAAAGAGTTTCCATGTACAAGTATATTATGTCATGTCATGTAGCTTCTGGTTTATTTTTAACATTTTATTGTTTGACGCGTGCCATATCATATCAATCTTGTTCATCACGTACAAAAACTGATAAGTAATTGTTGGGGTACTCAGGCAACCCAATGAATTCCCATCTCACTTGCTAGAAGGTTTGAAGGGCTCTAACCATCTCCAACCCTGGCCTATAACCTATTTTCCCCTTCTATTCTCCCTCAAATCCAACCCAATTCACGTAGAAAATTGAACCTAAAACCTAAAACCTAAAACTTAAAACAAGGTCAGAAATATCCCATGATTTAGCCTAGAAAATGGTGTGGGCACCCTCAACAGGACCCATCCAAATGGGCATGTCCTCCCGGATTTATAGAATCCAACGGCTGAGATCGAATATAATCAAATGGAACGACAAAAAAAAGATATACGGCCCAAATTTAAATCTAAAAGCTAAAATGATTAAAAAAATTATTTAACTCAAAATTCACCCAAATTTAGTGATTTTTCAATATTTATCGGAATCTAAATATTTTTAGGTTAAAATGTTCATAAAATTAAATTATGATAGTGTACATAATTTTCATTTTTTTTAAAGTTACTTAAAAGAAAAAATTAGCCTAAATTTATTCTTTAATAATTTCGGGCTAAAAAATTTAGGTCATAAAGGTTGGAGTAGAAAAGCTATTTCTGGGTTAAAACCTAAATTTTCTGGATTAAAAATTTTAGGTTTTAGGCCAAGGACTGATCGAGACCCGAAAATGTGATATTTATATATAGGTTTAATTATATATGTAACGTTCACAAAAACCACTAAATATATATTATATAATATAAGAAATAGAGAGAGGTCCACGTCAAGTGAAATATTAGAATTATGAGACATTTTAGATGTGTTCCCTAACTACCAATGTTCTTTGATTACTTTTGTGATTTTTAGTTTTTGATTGAAGTCCCTGACATTAATGTAATAATGTATTTTTATGTATGTTATTATATGTTTAACTTAAAAATGAAATTTGTAGTTATTTATATTAATGAGATTTAAAATAAAACCCATAATTTATGGGATTAAAGATATTAAAGATAAATTATACTCTCCAATATATTTGTGTGTGTATACATGGGTACATTCATAAAAAAACTAACTAAAAAATTATTGTACCAAAACATGGTACATTTTTTGACACACCCCGACCGAGATCAGGGCGTGCTGGCCGTCACACGGAGGTGACGTAACCATGTGCACGTGCGGAAGCTAATAAAATAGTAATATAAAAAGTACGAATAATTAGAAACTAGCATACAAAGTAGTAGAAACAAGTGCTAGCGTAGGTGAGACGCTAAGTTCAGAGCATAAAATCTACAGCAGTCCAAAGAAAAATGATTCGACAATAGTACACCCGAAGGTCACCCTACGCTGGTGAGCGTCTGTCAGAAATGCCGGGAAAGCCCTCTGGGAAACCACCGAACCTGCTAAGCAACTAGAACCTGGAGGGGCGCAAAACAAAAGCGTGAGTGGGCAAAAACAAAGCTTTTCGAAAACCATTTAGAAAATACACTCTAACCCCTCGCCGTAAAACCTGTATACTTCCCAGAAAATAAATATACGTATAGTATATATGACAATCATGCTCAAGAATATGCCATAACAAACTCTCATAATGAAGTGCGAGTGCTCAGGTAAAAATCATGTCAACAACATATAATCTGGCAGCCGGAGTCACCTAACGTGAACTGTACGGCTGCATATAGAGCTCAAATCTCAAACTCAATAACTGAACCTGCCCACGAGTCGGAACCACCTAAAGTGGTCTGTACGATAGGCCTGGGTGTAATACATATATACGCTCTAGTGCTACGATCACGTGAAGGCTGTGCGAATAATCGCGGGTCACCTACGAGTCGGAACCACCTAATGTGGTCTGTACGACAGGACTGTGCACCTAACTTGGATCCAAGCTGAGCGTGTGGTGCGGGAGGTGAACATCACGTGAAGGACTGTGCCCTACTCTGGGCGGGAGCACTAACACCGGGGGTGCAGGTTATGAGCTCTCTAAGCATCTCAAACCACTACTGAAATATAAACATGAATAACACTTACCTGGCACTTACCTGTGCGTCCACAGCACCCAATATGCATATGTATATATATATGCAACTACTAATGTACTAACAATGCACAACCAACGATAATATAACGCATGGCATATAACTAATAACCATTTAATCAATTTCTGGGAAAAATATAGTATATAGGTATATACGGAAAACCAAAAGCCCACTCACTGGTATGTGGAAGGGTCGTAGCCCCCCTGCCTCGAGTGACACGGTCGTCCTTGGGATACGTATCACCTATATGCGAAACAACTATAA